AATAATATTAAATATATTCTGAAAGCATTAAAACATTTCCCTAAAATATTTAAAAATAATTTTATTGTAAATGCTTTTATTGTAGTTGCTTTTACAACTTTTTAATATATAAATTACAGTAAGTGTGCAAATAATTAAATCTATTTGGATAAAACCTTCTGTGATAAAAGGACGTGAGAAAATCGAATAAATCTATTAAGGGTTCTGTTTGTAAACTACGGAAACCCTAAAGACGCTAACGATAAGAGGGATGCTCTTTCTCTGCATTCAAGTGTACTTCTGGCGTGAATTTCAGGCTTTTCAGATTTTAAAGGTACACCTTTTGTTGACCAGAGATAATGGAGCCTTTTATGCCGATAAAATGTGGTAATTCTCGCGGTTATCGGTGAGTAAATAGAGCCTCGTTTTGTGGCGAGAACAAATACGTAAGTATGTGTATTTAGAACCATGTGTACCAAGACAGAATTGTTTTATATGAAACCTAAAATCGACTTCATTATATCATTGAAGGAATTTGTTTCTGGATGTTTTTCTTTAAGTTAATTTTTTAGACAGCACTTAATACGATTTTACCAATCAATTAAAACTTTATATACTGGGTGGTCCGAACTGTATTCCGGAAATTTCGGCAGCAATTTGATATCACACACTTGGTATTTCGAATCAAATTTTGGTTACGAACCGCAAGTTATAATTTCAAATAAACCATATGCGATAATGTCAAAAGTTGACATATATGATATGTCATTCTATTCAAAATACCATTTTCTATCGAATAAAGTAAAAACATACCGAGGGTGCTATTTAAAAATCAAACGTTGTAGTCCTTTCCGTTGAAACAGGAAGTGACCAAAAACAATTGAATACGTCAATCAATCCTAATTTATGTCATATACTAACATATCAAATCTCGTTTTTTTATCTGAAAAAATAAAAAAGTTATAGGGGGTGAGCCACTTTTGAGACGCACCCGGTATTTATGATGTTGTTGGTATTTATTCACAGTTAGAGCTATATGTGATTTATTTTATCTAAATCTATGCCACACTTTAAAACAGCAATTGTAAAAAACATCTAAATATTCTATAAATATTTGTTTTTTTTGTTGGGAAGCTATAAATATTTTATATTTTATTGTTTGCATATACCATATATATTTTGTACTATTTATTCCAAAACTACTTCTTAAGAAAATAATGTTTCACTCATTTGTATATCAAATAAAATGAATCTAGATGCTTCTATAATCCTACCAAGCGAGTCAAGTAATAGGAACGCTTATCTAAGTGTGACAATAAATTTAATGATCTATGAGTATTTAAACAATTTATTTTTGACTGCTATTATTTGATGATTAACGCAATTTTCAGTTGAATTAACTTTATAAATCATTGACACAAAAATAGCACATCTTAAACAATTATTTCTAAAATTAAATGTGGTTGAAACTTTACCACAGCTTACTTTACTTTGCTAATATAATATATAGGGTGATTCCCGGCGATGCGATGGCACGTTAGACGTTTATGGAGAACCGGTGATTTGCAGTTTTGAAAATTTAGATTTTTATATAAAACATACATGCTACATCTTTCTAAAATAATTTTCAGAATTACAGTGTTGCCGCATCATTTGAAAAGTGGTAGCATCTTTCTTTTTTTAAATGGAACATTTTAGAAACTATTTTAATATCTCATAATTTTTCTATTATATTAACCTATCTATACCTATTTCTAATAGTTTCTGAGATAAAAAATAAAACATGTATAAAATTGATAAACACATGATTTGGAATAAGCACTGGTAAAAGGTAAAATCATGAACTGAACATTTTTAAAGTTGAAATTTGGATTATAAATTAACGAAAGTCGGTATACTCGATCTGTCTAAACCAGTTGATTGGCTATTACACAGGGGCAGCTAAAAATTACTTGAAAATGTAAATAAATTATTCGAAAATTGTAATAATATACGGGGTGTTCCATTTAAAGTAACAATGATGCTACCAATTCTAGTATACTGTAGTGCTGAAAATAATTTAGACAGATGGAGCAGTTGCCGTTATACAAAAATACAAATTTTTAAAAAAATCAAATCACTGCTTCTCCATAAACGTCTAACGTTCCATGGCCATGAATCACCCTGTATAAAATAGTACTTTCTTGTATAAAATTACCAACACTCATGCGAATACAAAATATTTTAGAGACATATTACATTTCTATCAAATAATTAATCAAATTTTAAAAAATGCCTACTGCATAAAAATGGCTAACATACATGGTGACCCAGTGTTCCAAAAAGTTCCAAATAATATTAAGTTTTCTATTGGATATATTCACATTCACTCAAAACTTATAAATTTGTGGGGATGAGTAACCCATATTCTAAAAATACTTTCATTGATATACAGGGTGATTCAAATATATTTTTATACTAATGTTAGAGTTTTCAATAGAATTCTTTCTGTATATTTTTACCCTTCCCCTATATCGAGTGTTTCTTGAAATATGTCTATTTTTGGTTTACATTTTTTGCACTTTTACTTCTTAACTCTTTCAAAGTTAAATGCCGCTGATTATTGATATTTTTTAGCCAAAAATAATTCTTCACAGTTTCTAACTAATTAATTTTAAACATTCGACCAATGTGTACTACCAACTACCAGTCATGGAGTCTACCCACCTATGCATGCGAAACCTGGATACAAAATAGACATCATAAGGAAACTGCAGGCCGCACAACGCTCAATGGAACGAAATATGCTGGGAATAACCAAGAGAGACCATAAAAGAATAGAGTGATTACGACAAAAGACCTAATAGATGTCATACACAGAGTCAAATTCCGCAAATGTTAATGGGCAAGACACCTGGCAAGAAGAACGGACAATAGATGGACCATAAAATTTACAGCATGGTACTCACACAGAATTAAGAGACCTAGAAGAAGACCGAACCTGAGATGGGACCATGATATTAGAAAATTATAAGGGATAACTTTGGCCCGCATAGCCAAAAATAGACAACAACAAGGGCGGTTTTAGAAAAACATTTTAGGGGGGTAATTTTTTTTAAATTAAAAACACTCAAGCTTCATTCAGAACTTCGCAATTAGTGGAATAAATTAGAATACTCAATTAACGCAGAAGTTTGTTCCCTTAATTTTAATGTAAGCATTCAGAACGTCAAAATTAGTGGTAGACATTTTCATTTACTAGAAAAAGTTATCAAACTTTTAACTTTTCCACTAATTATACTTCAAAATTTGCGACAAATGTCATTTTGGCCTTTGATTACCTTCCGTCAAGAGAAATTGTGGTTAGAAATCAAAAGTTGATTGTTTCATAAGCTAAATAGGCTTTCTCTATGGATACAACTGACTAACGCAAGCTGTTGCTAGGATATTCTATTAATTTTAATTGAATTTTTTAAACGTTGTGAATGATCGTAAACTAAAAAGTATACAGTGTAATTGAAATCACTAATTGCCAGGTTCTGAATGAAGCTTAATATAGAAATAATAATATCAATAATAAATGTTTTTTTTTCTTACATTTGCTGTTCTTAAACCTGCTGGCCTTAAATCTGAGACTGAGGGATTCTTACTGACATGTCATGTTGATCTAATAAATACTTTTGTGTGCCGCAGTTAGTTTACTGATGTGAAATACTGGTGATAGAAAAGAATAAGCAGGCTATACTCTGAATTACAATTGAGATTGTCGGCGTTTTAGGAGGGATGAGAGCTCTTAACCGAACTTCGGAAAATTCTATGATGGCAAGGTTCATCCGGGCAACATACGATTCGAGCTTAAAAGATGACGTTTACCGATTTGAAATTTTAAATATTATTTATTAGTTCTAACAAATCGCCCTTGTTCTAACAGAAATATGATATATAAATAATATATTGCTAAAGGGGATTTTTCATTTGATGTTTAAGTTAATGTAAAATTTACTAAATTATTTTTTTGAAGTTTGATCAGTCTAGGTGGGGCTTTTTTGAAGTTTGATCGGTCTAGGTTTCTAAATACCCCCATTACCTCTCCCTTAAAACCGCGCTTGGACAACAATTGGCCCAACTACAAAGATAGTATGTGAGGGAGGCTACACCATAATTGGAAATGATTGAAAACTGAAAATGATGATGATGATGAAGATTTTAAAATACTTTAAATTGCCTTGGTATACCTACATATTATACAATATGTTCCGGGATTGTCTTTAAAAGAGGCGAAACTTTTTTTATTATTGACACTTTGAGAAAAATGCATTCTTCATAACATTTTTTGCTTCTTCTATAATGGCTAATACCGTTTATACTTTTCCAAATTTCTATATTGTTTCATAGAAAATTAAAGAAACATGAGAATATTTTTTTTTCTTCGATGTCCTAATATTTTAAACGCGTTTCTATGGCAATATAATTTCCTTTTTGTTCTTTGATTCTGCAAAAATTCACTAAGACAAATTTCTTTTCCTCTAGGTATATTATAATTGATTTTGTAAAATTAAAATAGCAGTACCCCCAGGCAGTACATTATTAATTATTATTGTATTATTGCCAAACCTGTGTTGAAAATATGTTTTAATTTGATGGTTTTGGATATAATTTTGTTTTAATACTAGTTTCTTTTTATACTAAAAAAAGTTTATAGTATTAAAATGCCTACTATAAATACACTTCTTCTCAGAGTTACTTTTTTCATTACTCGTTAAAATTTGTACGTACAGTTAATATTTTAAACAATTATCTGACAATAATACAACTGAAATGGAGTACCATACACCTATAAAAAATTATCTCGTTTACTTTTAATCTACAGTCATTTTGTTGAATATGCAAATCTGTTTCGAAGTAAAGAGACACTTTAAAAACCACCAAGAAATAGTTTCCAAGTGGACTGTGATATAGAAACAGTTATTATTTCCTGTAATTTAACCGCATGCATAATATTTGGTGAAACTAGAATCATTGTTCTCTATATAAAAACTCACCTTAATCGTTTAGCCTCATCGATGAACGGCCTCTTTTCACTCTCGCTCAACAGTTTCCATTCGGCACCCAAACGTTTCGAAATCTCCGAATTGTGCATCTTCGGATTTTCCTGTGCCATCTTCCTCCTCTGACCTCTGGACCACACCATAAACGCGTTCATCGGCCTCTTGATATGCTCCTGATTGCCGGCAAGCACCGCGGTTGGCTTTGGTGACGACATCACTCAGTTTTATTATCACTACAAAGTTTTTAGAGGCATATATATTCACACGAACCACGTCGGGGAGTTCAGAAGGTTATATATATTTTTTTATATGTCTTTATGAACTCCGATATATGCACCACTGTCGGCTGTATATAGTTGGACTGATAGCGTCTTGTAAATTGGCTTGATGCGACGATAGCGAGATAAAGTGGTGTTTTTGCGTGTTGTGGGCTGTCGGTTAACTTTGGTGCGATTGATACGGCCCAACTGGTTTCACGCGTTGCACCCTGAAGGGCCACGCGCCTCGGGGGGCGGGGCATCGGCTTGCGCGGGAATTATCGCTGCCGCCCGATTTATTGGGGTCGAGAAGTGGCGGTTTTATGTTGTCTCCCGACGTGAATATGTGTTTGTACGGCTCGGCTCGCCTTTGTAGGTGTCGCGGGAGGCTTAAGCCGAGGTGGGAGCGGAGATGGGGGTTGATAACGGGAAGAAGACGTAGAAGTGTTTGGATGGAGAAAAATGCGGTTTAAATTTGGGGGGAAATAAATTAGGTATCTTTCAGTAAATGTATCTACAGGGTTGTATATGTAAAGTGGTTTTAACTATGATATCTCTTTAGTATGGGTTAAGTGTAAGATTAATAACTTTCAGCTAAACTTCGCCCTTTGGTTATTGTTTGTATTCTACTATAAGTAAATGGGGTTAAATAAAGACATTTGTTATTATTATTATTATATCTTACCCGGTGGCGTAGAGGTACAGGCTCTCGTCTATAGTCTGTCCAACGAGAAGATCCTTGACAGTGATAGATGTGTCTGTCATTTTAATTTCAAAGTAGTTTGTTTTATTTTACAAAGAAATAAGTTGGTACAAGTGGAACGCATAGCAGGAAATTATTATATTTAAAATATGACTGACAAGTGATTACTTCAAAATATAGTGAAAAAAACTGTATAAAACTGAAAAAATGTAATCGAGTTACTTAATATAATAAAAAACGGTATGTCTTAATACAAAACAGACACCACATACCAAAAAAATATAAAAAAAACTATTTCTTATTCGCATTTATGATTATATTTATCAATATAACTTATGTACAAATACAAATTTGTAATATTCCGCAGGAATAAATAAAACAACATTAATAAAACAAACTATTTTATTATTAATAACACTTACCAAATTTTATAGGTACCTTTAAAGGTTGATTAATTAACTTTACGACGAGATGGTATACGAACTTTAATGATGGTAACTTTATTGGTGTATAAGACATTTTGCCTGGGCAGCGAGTATTAACCATAAACTGTGCTCTGAGTCTACAGTTAATTTTCACTCGATTTTTCCTCCACTTGACTTCAAAAAACACAAAACACACGGAATAACACGATTCAAAATGCATCATCTTCCAAAACGCAGGGTATTTGACAAAACTGACAAAAGTTGACACAAAATTATAACCTCTAATTTGGCAAGACTTTGATAAGCGTCAAAAATCTAAAGGCGAGTTCATACGCATCGGCGTCCGTTTGTCGTTCGTCGTTCAGTCAAGCCAATACAATTGAAATACGATCTGTCATTTTTGAAATAAACCAATAAAACTGGTTAAAAACAACAAGAGACGACGTATGACGGATTTATATTTAAACCCATCCATAGTTAACTTAAAAATTATTAGAAACTTTTTTTAGTAAAATAAATAGATTGGTATGGGACGTCATCTGCTTTTCTTCTGTCGAAATCATACCTGAGAAAAACAAAACAGAGTATACCAATGTCAAGGTAGGGGGTTCGAATCCTACACCCGGCATTTCATCAGCCGATTATTTTTATTAAAATAAAAATAGTTTGGGTACCTAGGTCGACTCAGCCTTAAATGAGTACTTGGGATTTACAATCCTGAGGTAATAATAGGCGGTTGAAGCGTAGTGCTAGCCACATTACCTTCTTTCTATACCTACTCCCAAGGCGTCAAACGCTATATACGGGAGCTATTATATTTATTGTAAGTATCTGATATTTATATATTTATACTCACTGTTATCCAGGAATAACAGCTGAAATATTTAAGTATGCTGGTAGGAGAATTTAGAAAATCCTAGCAAATATATACACTCGCTGTCTAAGGAGAAAAAGTATACCGCAAGACTGCAATAGCGCCAACATAATTCCAACTCATAAAAAAGGCAGCAAAGAAGACCTCAGAAACTATAGAACAATAAGCTTACTACCAGTAACATACAAGATATTTACGAAAATAATAAACAACAGAATACAAAACACGCTAGATGCTGCACAACCACGAGAACAAGCAGGCTTTAGAGCGGCTTCAGCACAATTGATCACATACATACACTAAGAGAAACCATCAGCTGAACAAAAGAATACGAACTGCCACTAACCATAGCCTTTGTAGACTTTGAGAAGGTTTTCGACTCGATAGGTTTATGCCTGATATAGAAACTTTCGTCAACAAAGAAACCAAAGCAAGAGTAATGATATATAAAACAGCCCAAGAGTTTCCAAATGGTAAAGAAGTACGACAGGGAAATGCGATATCCCCAGAAATGTTTAAAGCAACATTAGAAGAACTCATCGTCAACTCGTCAACTGAACTGGACCAATAAAGGATTAAAATCAAACCATTTAAGATTCGCTGATGACATAGTCAAAATTCCCAATAGTCCTGCAGAACTACAAGCACAAATTAATGAACCAAATTCAGCCAGTAATAAAGTGGGTTTCAAAATAAATTTAGCAAAAACTAAAGTAATGTACAACGAACTAGTAGAAAGAAAAGACATTATAATAAATAACACAACACTGGAAATAGTAGAAAAGAATATACAGGGTGTTTCAAAACAAATGCGAAAAACTTCAGGGGGTGATTCCTTGTTCAAAATAAAGGGTAGTTTGCTTCATAAACGTTGGGTCAAAAGTCAACCATTAGGGAGATATTGCGGTACAAAGATGGCGGAAAAATAATGTTTTTATTTTTTATTTTCAAAACGAAAAGAGATAGACTAATAAAATTTTATGGAAGCACTACTGTTATGAAAACACACTTTCTGGTAATTTTTTCACTTTTTTAAAATGAGTGGAAGGGGTTGAAATAAACTACCCCTATCATTCTTGTTAACGAAATTTAAAGAAAAATCTTATCAAACACATGCAACAAAATTAATTTGGATGGTTTAGTTTGTTTAGAAACTTTTTTATCTCTTGTATTTTTTTGATAAAACTCACCGATTTGAAATTAAAAAATAAAATGTAAAGCATTATGTCAGGACAAAAAACATTTTCTGATAAAGAATCTAGTGGGCTGCTGTAAATTTTTAGGAAAAAATCTAGTCGGCCGCTGTTACTTTTTAAGATGTTCCTAATATTATTTTATTTGACATTACTCTACTGCAATACGTTATTATCTAGATGATTATTATTATCGTTATTATCACTAGATTCTTAATCTAAAAATGTTTTTTGGTTTGGACATGTAATGCTTTACATTTTATTTTTTAATTTCCAAACGGTGAGTTTTATCAAAAAAACACAAGAGGTAAAAAAGTTTCTAAACAAACTAAACTATCCAAATTAAAGCATTTGCATGTGTTTGATAAGATTTTTCTTTAAATTTCGTTAACAAGAATGATAGGGGTAGTTTATTTCAACCCCTTCCACTCATTTTAAAAAAGTAAAAAAAATACCTGAAAGTGTGTTTTCATAACAGTAATGCTTCCATAAAATTTCATTAGTCTATCTTTTTTCGTTTTCAAGATAAAAAATAAAAACATTATTTTTCCGCCATCTTTGTACTGCGATATCTCCCTAATGGTTGACTTTTGACACAACGTTTATAAAGCAAACTACCCTTTATTTTGAACAAGGATTTACCCCCTAAAGTTTTTCGCATTTGTTTTGAAACACCCTATATTTGGGACAACTAATACTATGGGTATTTCTACTACCAGAAATCAACAGAAGAATTAAGTTGGCATGGAGTATTTATGGAAGAAACTCAATCGTGTTCAAATATAGAATGCCACTTTATCTAAAGAAGAAAACATTCGACCATTGTGTAGTACCAGTCAACCTGGACACTTAAAATGGACATCATAAGGAAACTGCAGATCGCACAACGCTCAATAGGACGAAATATGTTGAGAATAACCAAGGGAGACCGCAAAAGAATAGAGTGGATACGACAAAAGAGCCAGGTAATAGAATACAAAGTCAAATCCCTCAAATGGCAATGGGCAGGACCCCTTGTAAGAAGAACGGACAACAGATGGACCACAAAAATTACAGCATGGTACCCACGAGGAATTAAGAGATGTAGAGGAAGACCGAACTTCAGGTTCGGTCTTTCTCTACAGGATGGAATCATGATATTAGAAAATTCGCAAGGATGGGCGGGCCAACAATAGACAACAATGGGCCCAAATACAAAAAGAGTATGTGAGGGAGGCTACAGCATAATTGGAAATGGTTGAATAAACTGAAAATGATGATGATGATAACTCACTGTTATAATTAATTTGATATTATTTAATATTGAATATGCATATCACACATCACACAAGGCATGTTTGGTTATACAGGGTGGGTCTGAAACAAATGCAAATATTTGTAGGGTATTATATTTAGACTCCAGAAACACGTTATGAGTTTTTAAAATGAAAATTTTAAAAATTTGAATTTTTTGAAAGAAAATTTGAAATTTTTTTAAATTTTTAGTTAAACAACATAATATCTTCATAATATGGCAACATAGATAGGTTAAATTTACAAGAAAGAAAACCCAGAAAAGATCCAGGGTTTCTGAAAATTTAAGCCAAAAATATATATTTTTTTTTAAATTATCAAAGTAAAATATCTCGGTTATTTTGGACTTAAAACGGAAAGAGAAAATAGGTATGTTTCTTTTATCGAGATCTACCAGCCCTAAAATATTGGCATTTATTTAAGACTCACCCCATATAATTTTCTTATACATCTATTATAGGTACCTAGTATATAGTTCGCAAGCGCTAGTGATGAGCAAATGCAAGACCAAGACCCCTTAGTCTTGGTCTTGCAGGATCCATTCCTGGTCTTGATCTTGATGCAAAACTTTTGCAAGTCTTGCACTTTTTAATAGATTTTTTACGATAAGGGAAATTAAAACAACTTTCGTTGCACCTCATCAAATCATCTTATGGAGTTTGCTGGTGGTCGTATTATGATGTGCAACGAAAGTTATTTTAGTTTCCCTAGATACCATTTCCTACATAGAAAATGAATAAATACTTCGTTTTCAACTAACTTAAAGCAAATGAAACTTTAAAGAAAGAAAACGATTTA